AAAACTTTGTTCCTACTTAGTGAACAGTTCAAGGCAATGAGAGTTTACTTTAGCGACCCAGTCCTAGAAGCTTGCTTCTGATTGGCCAGAAAACCTTTTCTGGCCAATGAGAAGCAAGGAAGCCAGATGTGTCTGGAACTGGTTTGCTAAAAGTAAATGCGTAGAGCCCTTGGGCTTCTCCCGTAAATACCTCGCGCCGTTGGCATGGCTTCCCCTGGGTCTAAGCACTCGCTACAACAAGGAGCAACGACTCTATTCCTATAGCTTTACAAAACTCTCACGTTTCTTTTCGTAGAAAATGTCTCGACCGATGTTTTTGGTGAAAGCTCATGGAATTGCTCTGGTCAGCCTTCAGCTGGATGGTCGAGCGAATGCAACACGTCGTCAGGTTAGAGATAAACTAACATCAAAGCCAGGACTTCGAGCCTGGACTCGAGCTAGGACTTCGAGCCGGGACCTCGAGGCTGGATTCGAGCCAGGACTCCAGTTAGGACTTTTCTAATCTTTTTGTAAGCAAAGAAATGAAGAAATAAAAATAATTAATAAACAAAACTAAAATAAAAGCAACAAAAAGGAGTCCTAACCTAACTCGTAACCTCCTAACCCTAGCCCTAACCCTAACGGTAACCTAACCCCAACCCTAACCCTAACTTAACGCTAACTCTAACCTAAACCTAATCCTAACCCTAACCCTAACTCGATCTTCCCTTCCATAATTGTCACGAAAACCCTCCTCTTAATGGTCATGGGACTTGCAGGACGTAAAAATGGAGGGAAAGCGAAAGATTGTCGCGTCCTGAGTCGAGTCCTGGCTCAAAATCCTGGCTCGAGTCCAGGCATGAGTACTGGCTCGGTATATAGGCATCCTCGTCAGGTTATGGTAAATACACATGTTTAATAAAGCCTAAGCGAGAAAAAGTAGTGTAATAGGAATGTGTTTGTCTATTCGTAAAGTGGATTCTCGATTCTTGCTATAACAAGGCACCAGGAGACTGACAAGGTCCGCTCATTGTAACTGGAGAACGTTTTATCGAAAACTTTTTTTTGTACATTTTACACATGTGATTGAAGCGAATAATACCGTTCGTTTTACCGTTGTCTTTATTAATAAGGGTTCATGTTATTTCAAAGTTTCACTGAGTGAAACAAAATAATGAAAGTTGCCCTAATGTAACTTTTTTAAATTTAGATTCAAATCCAGCTTTTTTAATCGTTGGAACAGAAGATGTTCTTCTCAAAATTGACCTGCGAAACACATCAAGGAGAACGAACCTTCAAGTCAAGAACGTAGTGTCACTGGACTTTAGTTCCGATGAAAACATGGTTTACTGGTCAAACAAGAAAGAGATAAATCAGCTCTCTCTACAAACCGGCATCAGTGAGGTCATACCTTTTCATCACAATGACGGCAGCTCTGTGCCATTCCCAGAAGGCCTTGCAGTTGATTGGATAAGTGATAAATTGTACTGGACTGATGCCAAGCGAGACGCCATTTACGTGGGAAATTTGCGCAACGGCAGAAAAGTGACAATTATCAAAGGAAAGCTTGATTCACCAAAGGCCATAGTCGTCAGTCCTTCAAGCGGGTTAGTTAAACAGATGACCATAGAATTGTGCCCAACAGAACGAAATTTGATTCCCAATTTTTTTTTTTCAAATATTACAGCAACACAGTAACATAGTTGTTGGGAATGGTACTGCCCTTGCTACGACATGCACAAATGGTTAGATTCCCGAAGTAGCCTTTTTGGGGGAAAAAATTCCAAGGCTCCTTCGCACTACACTCTCACTTATCTGACTCTTGTGGGAACTTAGAAGCAGGGAGCTTAAGCAACGAAGACGACGACGGCAGTGAAAACGTCGCTAAAAATTAATTTGCGTCTTTTTAAAATTTATGGCGTCTATTTGGACCCACTCAATATCTCAAATGCAGGCGTTTTTCTATGGAGTTGAATCCTTAAGGACTTTATCCAAGTTAAAAAGAGAAGGGAAAATTCGTCTAAATATGCTCACGTCCTCCATAAAACGTCACATTTGGAGGTTTCACGTTGTAGTCGTGCAGTAGACGTCAAAGAAATGTACTTAGAGTCCCGCTCATGTCCATTCTTATTGTGCACGTTGATGTCAAGTAATTAGTATAGGTAATCACATGATTTCCAGTGCAATTTGGAATAAATAAGCTTTGGAATAAATAAATAGTATTAATAAGTAATCACATGATTTTTCTCGTGCAATTTGGAATAAGCGCTTGTAAATTTTTCAAAGACCACCAAAAGTGCACGAGCCGGTAGGGTGAGTGCACTTTGTGGTCTTTGAAAAATTTACAAGCGCTTATTTATTCCAAATTGCACGAGAAAAATCATGTGATTACTTATTAATAATATGCACGAAAAACATAACTTCAACAACAAACTTTGACAGCGCGCACATTTTTGGTTCATTCAACTGATTGGCTGAAACATACTACTACCTTTGTGAAATTCAAACTTTTTCAAGACCCTTTAAAAATCATTCAGCTAAGAACATGAAAATGTGCAAGGATTGATTTTACACCAGCCTGTTAAAGATAACTTCGTTTACAATAATCAGCAAAAGTTAGTGTTTTTAGAATCATCAGTCCTCGATTATGAAAGCTCGGCGTTTAGATACAAAAAGTATACGGAAGGAAAATAGAAGGAAACACTTCGAGCGGCCTAAGATGAAAGACAGTATAAATTGCTGATCGAGTTGTTTAAGATGTTTAACAACTGTTCATCATTGTCTGTTCCTGAGACCCCATTATTGCTGGATTCATGAAGAAATCTTTGAGGTTTAAAACCCGAAAATGAAGGAGGCAATTTGTTCTCTTTCGACGGTGCCATCGATGGGCGAGTGGAGCCACAGTTGCTTGGATGTCGGAAATAGCCAATATTTGTTTTTTTTTTTCTCAAAATTTCATTTGGATTTGCAAGAGAGTTGTCGTCGCTCTTCTTCGTCGGCTTCATCGTAGTCGTTGAGGAAATTTATACTTCTGTGGCCCGTGACTTTGGCGATATCTGAGCGTACAATGTTTTCTTTCTTCAGCTTGGTTACTGTTGTTTTTCTTGCACTATGATTCGTAAACTTTTTTCTCACTTACCTCAAGGCTAGTACGAGCTATGGGTTGTTTTCATTATGTTACTTATCGTATTTTCGCCCTTTGGTTTAATTTGAACGAGATATTTGTCATTAAATTTACGGTTTCGTTTACTACTGTGGTAGAAAGAACCAGACCATCGCACGTTTTCATAGAGGTCTTCGCTCGACAAAAAAACTTAAAGAGAGCAACCGGACACCCTTCTCCTCCACAACATACGTGGCTTGAAATCCCTGTTATTATGATGGAAAACTTGTATCTTTGTTCATCTAATGCCTAAGAAGTGTTGCTATCATGACTTGCATGTGGCTGTAACCGTTTTTTTCCTTACTTTTTTCTTAACTTCAGCGTAGTCTGTTTTAAGTAGCAAGTTTAGTTTCTCTGGCTCATTTTCCTCGATTTTGTTGACAGTATTTTTTTCTCTTAGCACCACATTTTCGATACATTAAGCCAGAAAGACGTATACTTTTCACTATTTTTGGCTTTTTGGAATATTTTTTTACTGTTCTTTTATTGTTTTGCATGCAAAATCAAATAGTTAATTTCTGAAAACCAGGGCCATTTTCTTAAATTTTGTTATTAAAACAGCTCTTATCTGATTGGTTCTCGTTGGTTTCTTTTGTGTTTTCAGCTAATCAGAAACCATTTGTAATTTGCACTCGTGTTACAGGAGAACTATCTCAGCCAATCAGAACTGAGTAATTTTTTCGTGTATATTATTAAGATGGAAAAACAAGGCTTAGCAGACAAGCTCTTATCATTTGCCGTATGTTTTTCTCACAGCTACATTTACTGGACGAACTGGGGCCAAGCGCCTTATATTGAACGTGCGAGACTGGACGGCACCGAAAGAAGAGCACTTGTCTACAATGGTATCAAGTTCCCAAACGGCCTAGCTGTTGACGAGTTAGACAAGAAACTTTTCTGGGCCGGGACAGACGACAATAAACACGGAATTATCGAGGCTGTATCTCTGGATGGTTTAAACCGCAGCGTCATATTCTACGAACAGGGCTACCATCCATTTTGCTTGGATACCTTTGAAGACTATGTTTACTGGGCTGACTGGGGCGAAATGCGATTTTGCGCATCAAATCTCTCGGGGGTGATGCAGAGGTGATTATTGACGGCTTAAACAAGCCAATGGGATTGAAAATTCTTCACCCACGTGAAGCAAGGCCAGGTACGTATTCTGATACATACAGTAGAAAGACGTTCATCATCTCTTGGGTTTTTTCTTTGTTTTCGTTACCTATAAAAATCTTCCTTATTTAAATTTCTTCTCTCTCAAAAGGAGGGAAGAGAGGGACTCCTAGCAAAGAGTTTGTAGCGGTTTTTCGTCGAGTAATGCAGCAATGTTGGGCTTTTCAAAACCTTCACTTTGTTTGATTACACAAGTTCCAGATGGCCTGGAGCTTTCGAGTATTACGTTTATTACTTCGTCTTTCCTTTGACGTAGGATGTTGTTCATTTTTCACTCTAGGCAATTCTTGTGATAAAAACAATGGCGACTGTGAGTACCTTTGTCTATCTATCCTTCAAAAACAAAGATGCTTTTTGCAAGGAGGGAATGAAATTAAAAGAAAATGGAAAAATTGTGAGAAATACAAACTTCAAGGTAAGTCATGCTTGTGACCAGTTCATTGGATTTCAATAGTTTTTATCGCTCTTATACCGCATGTCTTTACATTACACCTATTGCCTTCACTGCTTCGTGTCTGCTTAGTGGGTGGCGGTTTTTTTCCCCCACCTTTGCTGAAGAGATATTTAGTTTATTATATATTGGCAGATCTTGAAAATAAAGTTCGTCAGCTTTGGTGGCCAAATTTTCTCCAACCAAATCCGACTCTGTGTTTATCTCCTCAGCAAACAAGTGCGCCGCCACGCAGAGCTCTTGGTCACGCAATGCAAGGTTTTCAGCGTCCTTCTTACCGAAAAAATGGCTTGATATAAAAGGACAAATAGTCCGTGAAGGCAAATCCAGTCATAAATCTGTCAAGGGAACGTTTTTGTATAATCCTTCCCCGTAATTAAGTATTCGACGATAGTATTGCGGTGTCGTGAGCACTGTCTTAGCGATGCAAACGTAGATAACGAGATACCTTCGTATTTTTCTTGATAATCTGAAATTCATCTATTTGTTTCCCATCTAAGGAGAGGAGAAGAATGGTGAATCATTGGATTTCAACACTCCAATCTTCATCATAGTTATGCTGCTGCTTACGTTCGTAGCTGTTTATTTTGCATTGAAGAAACGCCCCTCGTGCTCTAGACCCGCTGATCCACCCCGGGTACCACGCGCGAAAAGGGCGAATGATAAGGGGGTCATAGATGAAGGAATAGAGGAGGAGCTTCCCACAGACCAAACGGAACTTATGGTTGCGGAATCGCAACCAAATAATGAGTCACCTGATTCAAACCAACAACTTTGTAGTTCTGAAGCATCTGGAGTATGCGCATCGCCAGTGAAGGTGAGATCGGCAAAATATTGCTTGTAACAGCATAACCCTGTTGGTATTAAACTAAAACCACTGCTAAAAGCAACAGCCCATTTTACAGTTGCTGGTAGAGGCAAAGCTGGTGTTGACTTTGTCTTATTAAAACCCGTCCTTTTTTCCTATGTAATTGTTGCCTTTTATGTTAAATAGTAGTATCTAGGAGGTATGTGTAAAAATAATGTTAATCCCTCGCATTCATTCCTAGGCGTGTGGTTGCCATGCGCACAACTGTTAAGTGGTCCATTGGTTAAGATCCGTACTTTTTAGGAATTGTTTCGGGAAGACAAGATGAATACTACAACAAAAACGAAGGAAATTGTAGGCTTCTAAAAATACTTTTCTTTTTTAAGTACTTTTCAGAACTTGATCAGTGAATTTATCAGTAGAAAATAGTTATGTACAGTTGTCAATTACAAAGTAACTTTAATTTAACACATTTGCGTAGCGAGCAAAAACTAACTCTTGCAACTTTTTTCTTTAATGTTGAGTTATCTGCTTTCTATTTTAAAATTAAATCCTGCTACTTAAGAGAAATTATTTACGATAACTCTTAGACCGTGTTCTAGTGTCGTAAATTTTCCGGCTTCAGTCAAAGAAAAAGAAATTGTTGCACTTCAGGACAAATTATATAGATGTGTTCTGACCATAATAATAACATTTTTTCCTTTGGTTACAGAGAGATGTAGTGGTTCACATGCACATGAACACGGTGACCATGAACACAGTGAACACAATGAACATGAATATGAATACAACCAATAACGTGGAACTTCAACAAAGTGGCGGAGTGACTGTCGTAGGAGACGAGGCGAAAATCAATTATCATCAGCCTTCTCAAAGTTGAAGTAATACTTCTACGAAAACTGCCTCTCATTATTGAGAGTCAAAACGCCTTAATACGGAGGATCAAAGGGACAGCCCAACTATCCGCATCACGGAGCTGTCCCTGATTACAGGAGGACAGATTGAATGAAGTTTGGTATCCTCGGAGCACACAACGAGAACTGTACGTAAAAACAGGGTCCTTAATATTAGAGAGCTCTAAGTGTGGGAGGAGAGGGGGTTCCAATGTTAAAGCTACAACTGATAAGTTTGATTCGATGCGTACTTTTTCAGAAAAGGTAGTGAAAAGTCCTCTCCTGCTGTTTACAGAATCGCATGAGTACCCACCTATTCTGTATTTCCGGTACTTGCTTGGTCGATATTTTCCGTCCTTGGGGAATTCCCATATATGGGCTCAGTATATGAGGATGTGCCACTCAACAGGGTATGCTGTTATTGCCCCTCTCCCTATTATAGACGTAGAGAGATTATAAAGCTTGGCGAGTGTTTCTCGAACGTGATATCTGATACATGTGGATAAGAAGTAACAGCGGAAGAAACTTTTTGGGGGTGCAGACGAAAACAGATACGTTTGCGCGAGAATCGTTGGTTTCACATGACGTCACTAAAATTCAAACTAGAAAACTATCGATCTCACCAAGATTTTACTTTCACGGTGTATTAGGGCAGCTGAAAACTAATTTTCATACAAATTTTCGCTTCAAAAGGGTTCTTGCTTTTGTGATAGAGTACGTGCGTGACGCGGGATTTACATGACGGCCAGGAGAGTTGTCATGTAGATTAAAAAAATTACTTATTTCCGGGAATTTTGCTATCTAAACAGTTTATGTATTAGAAAAAGTATTACTTTTATGTTTATGATTTCCTCGAAGAATGGTTTCACGTTTTTGTAGCAAAACTCGGTAACAGATTTTTCTGTTGGTTTCCGTCCGCCATGTTGGTGATCATCCGGATGAGTACCAGCATGGTGTCTCCATACAAATCTCTATAAATTTGGGAAAAACATTTCTTCGGATATCTCGTATTCAAAATATTCCTCTGACCTGAATTTTGGCGAGGGTCTTTGCATACTTACCTCCTTTCATTTCCCAGATTCTGGACTTTATCTATTGAACGGTCTTCATTTTTATTTGGATCTATTTTGAATGGCGTGACACTGAAAACCAGCTATAAGTGATGCGTTTTATAGTCAACAATAGTCTTCGACCCATGTGAAGGAAAATGTACCGGAGAGGATCCCTTTTTAACCTAGCAGCGTTGCTGATATTTGATTTTAGCCACGTAAGAGAGCATATTTATACCCTAAATTTTATATATATATTTAACAATTATTCTTTGAAATCGGGGTGAATAGTGGCAAAATATTTACCGAGCCGCGAAAGCGGCGAGGTAAATATTCCCAAAGCCACTATTCACCGAGATTGAGAAGAATAATTGTTTTAGTATATACACACGAAGTGATCTCAACAAAATCAGAAAGGAAACCATTCAAAAGTAGGATTTGATTGACAGATCAAATCACGCGTAAGTTTAAAAATAGATCTTTGCAGAATTTTCAAACATGGCAATTCACAAGTTTACTCATTTCGCAAACAACAGCGTAATGGCTTCAATGGAATCGCTAAAAGTTTGAACTGTTTCCTTACCTGAGAAAAAAAGTAGAGCTGTGTTGTTTTCTGTTGACTCGCCAAGTTTATAGCCAAAAGGGCATGTTGTGTCGTTCTTCGCATGAAGTGCTGACAAAAATGGCGGCTCGGTTGCTCGAGGTAACAGGTCGTCTTCCTGTATCATTCTTTTTCCTGTTTACTTGAAATGTAGAATTTCTGCAAACATTTCCTTTTAAATTTGTTTGTCATAAATAAACTTCGATTTTTGAGCCAAAATTCCAGTGCAAACTCGTTAAAAGATGCAGAGCCAATATATATATTTAGTATATACACACTCAGTGATCTTGGTGATTTAAGCAATCTGATTGGTTCGCTATCTCGGACTATTCAACAATATTCACCTCCTAGCGAGTGGATAATGTGTGAGCTCGGTGTTTTTCCCGTTTTTTTTAGAGAACGATCTTTTAAAAGTCGACAAAAACTTAGGGCTGACTTTTTTTTTAAGGCAAGAAAAGACTTGGAAGGATTCAATACGGCGTTTTTCAATTTACTGTAGCAGGAGTTTTGTGCTCGATGGATTGTTTACAACTCCCGTGTATTCGCGTAGAAGAAGCCGTTTCGTGAACTCAGCGTTTTCTAAGAAGAAAATTTTGGCTCAAAAATCGAAGTTTATTTATGACAAACAAATTTAAAAGGAAATGTTTGCAGAAATTCTATATTTCAAGTAAACAGGAAAAAGAATGATACAGGAAGACGACCTCTTACCTCGAGCAACCGAGCCGCCATTTTTGTCAGCACTTCATGCGAAGAACGACACAACATGCCCTTTTGGCTATAAACTTGGCGAGTCAACAGAAAACAACACAGCTCTACTTTTTTCTCAGGTAACGAAACAGTTCAAACTTTTAGCGATTCCATTGAAGCCATTACGCTGTTGTTTGCGAAATGAGTAAACTTGTGAATTGCCATGTTTGAAAATTCTGCAAAGATCTATTTTTAAACTTACGCGTGATTTGATCTGTCAATCAAATCCTACTTTTGAATGGTTTCCTTTCTGATTTTGTTGAGATCACTTCGTGTGTATATACTAAAACAATTATTCTTCTCGATCTCGGTGAATAGTGGCTTTGGGAATATTTACCTCGCCGCTTTCGCGGCTCGGTAAATATTTTGCCACTATTCACCTCGATTTCAAAGAATAATTGTTAAATGTATACTCTCTATAAAAATTGATGTCATGGTATTTTCGTTTGCCTTCGAGGTAATAATACATAGCAAATATATAGTTTCAGTGAACATGATATAATGTGAAGGCTCTCCTGTACAGTATTTTGATCCAGTTTTTTTAAAGCAATTTCTATTTCTCCAAATGTTTTGAAAAACTGACTGAAATATTTCCATAAATGGGTAGATATGTTTATATTGTTTTCTATATTGTAGGTACATTTAGATAAGATTTTTCAATATAGGACACATGTGCTGTTAACGCCATTTGAAGTTCAAAATTCGAATTTTTAAATTCGCTGATTTATTTTTTTTCTTAATTGTAGTTTTTTTTGTGCTCCTTTCTTTGACTACTGAACAAATGTGAGGAATACGAAAATTGTTCAGTATATTTTGATCCAGTTTTTTTAAAAACAATTTCTATTTCTCCAAATGTTTTGAAAAACTCACTGAAATATTTCCATAAATGGGTAGATATGTTTATAGTGTTTTGTATATTGTAGGTATATTTAAATAAGATTTTTCAATATAGGACACAGCTGAATTGTGTTTTTCCAGTTTTGTTTTCACTCATAATATATTGATTCACATAAAATTTGTGCGTAGCTGGCTACGCAAACAAAGGTATATTACTTGTTGTTAAAAACGGTAGCTTTACTTTCCAAATTTAACAGAATGATAGCCTCCTTAGCAGACGATGTATAAGCGAGCGAGCACAAACTGGTGACGAAGACCAGGTTTCTTTAATCCATTCATCTGACGGCTTCACCGCTGCTTTGCGAGCGCGAGCTCGCTTTCAAAACTGTCAGGTACGCAAGACTGTGGGGATGATGTATTGAAATAAATTCGATCTTTGAGTTATTTTGCAATGACGTTTCCCTCATTTATCAGAAATGGCTGGGTAAAAGATGACATCAGTAGTTAATACTGTAAACGCTACACTGTCAGGCGAATTAAAAAAAGACCTGGCAGGTGTTTGGTTTGCCCACAAAGATTGGTTATGGGGCTTTACATGCCGGGCTTGAAAATATTTGGGTCTGCATGGGCAGTCAGCTTAATATTTCATTTTTCACCTCTCCATAGAAAGGTGTTCAAAGCAGTATCACGGTTTTTTTTACAGAGTGTAACGAAACTCAACCTCTTACTCCTTTATCTCCTTTTTGGTTAAGCCTCCTCTGGATTATCTTTTTAGAGCCGTGGTGACTCAAATGAAGGGCAAGGAGCCATTGTGATGCCTTCATGATAACCCTCGCGGATATATTAAATAGGTCCTCGCGAAGTGCCCACTCGCAAAAGCGAGGTTGATTACACGCAAAGCGCCGAGCGAAGTGAGTTTATAATCGCGTCGCCCTCAGTGCGTGGACCGCGCATGGTTCCTAGTGAGCTGAACTCGCGGCGCTCATCTATCCAATGGTGTGCGCTATAACGTCATACAGTAGTTTGACGTCACGACGCATTTTTTGTTTCTAGGCAACATATAACATTTGACTGAAAGCGATTTGCCATCAATGACCAACGTATTCATGAAGAGCTGACTTGTTCATACATCGTCTGCGAAACAGTGTTTACTATCGGTGAATCTCAAGCGATTTCTGATGCAAATAGAACAGAAAAGCAAACACAAGAACGCTGAATTCAACAACCGGCTGTAAATCCTCACAGGGGAAGATTTGACACCGAAAAATCCTCTGGAGCGAGAACGCCGAGTTGAAATCAGTCAACGCGAGCAACGACGAAGGAGACGGCAGCGACAAACAGCGGAGCAGAGACAACATAACTCAATGAATTTCAAATGCTAAAGTTCTTTTAAGAGCAAATGGAAGCGATTTTGAATAATTAGCCTTAAGATATGAGCGAAAATCGAGGTAACAAAATACGCTTTGCTCGCAGACGAGAGTACGGTATCGGCTTAGTTGGGCTTAATTAAAATACAAATCTTGTATCGGCGCTTGGCTTTTCTTACAGTATTTAAAACTTACAACGCCAAGCGGAAATGAGAAGCGAAGGACATTTTAAAAATGTATTCGATCAGTCCTCTGCTTTACATCAGTTGAGAACAATATTTTACGTTGTTTTTTTCTTGGTCATGTGACATGACTATTTCAGTTCCTGAAATAGCAAATATTCGAGGAAATGCCTGTAGATTTTAAATTACTTCACGTTTGTTGTTCCTTTTCTCCTAAAAAATGTAATGACAGTAAAGGTCACTTTAACAAAAGAGTGAATCCAAATTCTATTAAATGTTGTGCTTTTTTTCTTTCACGGATTCTATTTAAGAAACTGTAATTGTTTTGATGCGCGAAAAGTTGTTGGCAACAATTCAATACCTATCGATTCGTTTTTGCCCGCAATTGCGTGACAAATTTGAATTAATAATTAAAACGCTCGTGTAACAATTCTCGCGTGGTTTGTAGTAACTACGACCCCGACCCTCGTAAAAATGTCTGTAAAAATGGTATGGCCCGACGTGTTGATGATAATTCAAGTATAATATTTAGCTATCACCTCCCAACTATTAACAAACATTTCAAAGAAAAAGGAGAAGGCTGGGTTTGTCGACGAAAGACAATGGTGTTATATGTGGGATGTATACAGAATTTCAAGAACCGGAAATTGCAATACAAAGTAAGTACCTCATATGGTTAGCCCTGTCAAAAAAATAGGATCTACAACACTTCAACTAAATCAAGAGGCATAAAGCGCGTGCAAACAGTATTAACAGTGATCCGTTGAACTGACTTTGAAAGGTCGATGCATGCTATTGGCTAATGCGAGTTATTGACAGATTTGCTGCTGTTGAAATGCTTTGATCGTTCGAGCTGGTAATCAAAATTATTCCTGCGCTTTAAGTGGTGCACATCTTGCTTAATTTTCTGACCTGTCGACATCACAGGAAAGGGCCGTTTCACCTTATAGCTCTTCCTAAAATGACCACACTTACCTACAGCGCGCGCTTAGCACTTTTTCTAACTACGATGATAATTCTTGAAAGAGCTGCCTCAAGAGTACAGGGTAAAGCCTCTCCAAATGCAGCAACGCCTGACAGTAATTCTTCGCTTACAGCGGTTTTATCTAAGACTACAAGAGGACTTCCCGATAAATTTATCCAGTCGCTTAATCACCAGCAGCAGGGTGGCATTGACTACCATGACCAAGACGACGTGTCTGAAGATTCTGCCATGTACTGGCTGAGAATCGAGATAATCAAAGCAAAGATACTGGCAAAACTGCAAACAAAAGTACCGGTAAAAAAAGAAAAACCAATGGAAAGTAAAATTAAAGAGCTACTTGCTAGTTTGAACCTCATTGGAGAAGATGACGTAGATGAGAAAAAGGAAGAGGAAGAACGAGACTACTTTGGAA